TTTATAGTTTTGCTCCATTGAAACATCCAGGAATTTATTTAAAGTAAGTACAATATAAGATTGTCACACTTGCGGTCAACAGTAACAAATTATAGGAGTTAAAAAGCCACAATTCAACCTGGGGCTTCAGGTGACACACGGAATAATCATGAAGCTCAAACAATTTGCGAATAACATTTTGACTGAATTAGACCCTTCACACAAATATGTTATTTGATAATATGCTATGTATTTAAATTTTTTCATTTTGACATTATGTTCTAGACCAACTGACCTGCTAATTGCAAATTTAATCCATTTGGTTGCCAATGCTGTCTTTTGTTATTTTGCAGCAGCAGTTTATCAGTAATTAGATCTTGCTCAGTTCATCTTTTGAAAATATTGTAACCGTACAGGTGCATAAATGGTGCGTATTACTGAAAACTCAGCATTTTTTACTTGTATGATTACAATAACAGAATTCACAAGGCTTTTCAACATGATACCCTGTAGCACTGCAACATGACATGACTGATTTTTATGACAAATAAAGCCCTCCGAGACAATACTCTGGGTAAAGGGCACTTTTAACGTTTACACGTTTGTATCAACATTTTAAAATTTATTCACGCTGGGTAATAAATGGATCAAAAAATATTCACTGAAAATTATACAAAAAATAATTACCACAGCAAATGAGAAAATCTGAAGACCAAGTTATGTTGAAGGTATAATTTAGACAAAATTTTCAATGGATGTTAAAAAATGCTGCTGCTGCTGAGTAAAATGAATTTTCTACTGTGTTTTATCCATGTAGAAGAAACTATAGACAATAATCATTCAAAATAATTCTTAACACAGCAGCAAGAGTGTCATTTTCTCACTCAAGAACGCTGCTCAGCAATGTAAAAAAAACGTGTTCTCTGGTTTCATGGCCAGAGCTCCTCTATCTTCAAACGTTCTTACATAGTTAGTTTAATTTTAAAATTGAAGGTGAGGGCAAGGATTTTTAAATTGACCTGCAGGGGTATAGGGAGGGAGTTAATGAGCTTGGCGAGGATAGGAGTGAAGTGTACGTGGAGTCGAGTGAGGGAGAGGATAGGGACTACAGGCTTTGTTTGGTCTGGAGCCAGTGGAGGATAGAGTTGGGGAGGCCGACAAGAAGGACTTTGGAAAAGTTAAATAAGGAACTGACAAAAGCGTGGATTAAGCTTTCAGCTGCATTTGGGATGATGTAATGGAGGATGCAAGCAAGTGATGGAAGAATGCCTTGGTTAGACCCTGAATGAAAGATTCCAACAACAGATCCTAAGTTTAAAATGTCTCTTTTTTTAAAAAAAAAACCCCCACCATACATTACAGGATTGCAATCAACCGTGCAATGTTGGAACAGGCCGATGATTAACACGCTCCACTCTTGTGCTCATTCCAAAAAAGAACTGTGACAAACCAGACAAACCACACTTGACCTGACGAGCAAATCACTCCAATATTTTTTTAAGGCTTATGGGTGTCTGACATATGCAGAAATCCTTCACCGGGTCTCAGAGTATCCAAACCAGATTGAGTTCAATACATGCATGGAAATTTCCATGCGTCTGGAATGAAATGCGCGTTCTCCCTAGAGGAATCCACCTTGCCCAATTCCAGGGACTTTTAGGTTGGCAAGAGCCAAAGCTGTATAGTGAGATACAGTTGAAGTTTAACCAACTAAAGCTGTCATCGACAGTCTGGCAAGCTTCCCACTGCTCGTCCACCTTAGGCGTTTGGGCTTTGGCTTGGTATTAACAGGAGTCAGTTTGTCCTCCAACCTGACTCGGTGGCAGGACTCTCACCTCTGAGTCAGAATCACTTTGGGACTTGAACTCGCATAGTCGAAGTTGATACTCCAATGGAGTGACAATTGTATTGTCTTGAGTTTCTCCTGGTGTCCTAGCCAATAACCCACCAAATAAAATTGGTCATTCGTTTCATGACTGTTTGTGGGACATTGGCTGCGCATTCGCCTGTAAAAGTAAATCTTGTGAAGCACTTTAGGACATCCTCGAAAACGTGAAAGGCACCATACCAAATGCAAGGATTAATATTAATAGTATTCTTCTAAGTTTAAGATTATAACATAGTACACATAATATTAATAGTAACCCTTGCATTTGATATAGCACCTTATCAAGTCTTTGAGACGTCTCAAAGCACTTCACAGAATATGCTGCTAAGTGAATTGACTGTATATTGTAATTGACTGTATATTGTATGGGCGAAACACAACAGCCAATAGTGCATAGCAGTTTACCACAAACAGTCATGGATTGAAGTGACCAATTTATTATTATTTATTTATTTTTGGAAGGGATTATTACCCCCAGAAAAGGGATCCGCCAATTGACTAACAACCGTGTTCCTACTTACTGCTACAACAACAACATGGCCAGACGGCGTCTCAGAGCGCTTCACAATAATGGCTGAAGGCACGGCTGCTGATGGTGGAGCGGAGGATTCGAGGGACAAGGAGGAGGTCAGACCCGTTGGAACGAAGGCAACTGCCACTGTTGTGAGGAGAGAGGTCAGAGAGGTCGGGGGGTGCAGAGGAGTGGAGGGATTTGAAGACAAGAGTGAGGATCTTGAAGTCGATCCTCTCTGGGATAGGCAGCCAGTGCAGTCTGGCAAGGACTGAGGTAATCAGGGAGCGGAGTTTGGTGCGGGTAAGAATGCGGGCGACAGAGTTCTGGATGACCTGGATTTTATGAATGGTAGTGGAGGGGAGACGGGCGAGGAGGGCATTTGAATAGTCCAGGCGAGAGGTGACAAAAGGCATGGACCAGGGTTTCAGCGGCTTCTGGAGTGAGGCATTAGCGGAGACGGGCAATGCGTTGGAGGTGGAAGAAAGCGGTGCTGGTGAGGGACAGGATGTGGGGGAGGAAGGATAATTGGGGGTCGAACCTGATGCCTAGGTTGCGTATGAGTTTGGAGAGTTTTAGGGGGAGGTCAGGTAGGTGGAGGAGGTGAGAATCGTGCAATTTAAGATGTTGACGAGAGCCAAAGAGTATGGCTTCCGTCTTGTCAACATTTAGCTGAAGGAAATTCGCGCTCATCCAGCTCCTGAGGTCTGGCAGGCAGGCTAACAGAACATCAGGGGACTGGGGGTTACAAAGTGAGGTAGAAAAATAGAGTTGAGTGTCGTCCGCATACATGTGGAAGTGTACCCATGTCTGCGGATGACATCCCCAAGAGGGAATATATAGATTAGGAAGAGGAGAGGGCCAAGGATGGATCCTTGGGGTACCCCGCAGGTAACCGGGTGAGAGCGGGAGAAAAAGCCATTTGTAGACGGTTCGTGAGGTAAGTGAACTGCGAGGTGAACAGAGGCATGTGAACATTGCGCATAGCTCCCAATGTGATACAGTGAAACTCTGATAAGGGAAATAGTTAAAATAACTAGAGTATCATTGCTGTTACCTTACTGTAGATTGGCCACTCTGTAGCAGTGCTTTATTTAGTAATTAGCCTAGTAACTGATACATAAACATTCAGTGAAGACACCAATTTGAACACCCAATTCAACATCCCAAGATATTTACCTGAATACAAGGGGGAAAATCTGTGTTGTAGCACTGAAGAGTTCATCCAGCCAGTGGAGCACAAAATGGAACCCCTTCTCACACTTTACATATTCTACTTAGTACACTTGTTTTCTTTTAAGCAGGGAGTATGCAAGTACAGCAGTCAAGAAAGAACTTAATTTGGGGTTTTACATTTTCCCTTTCTGTACCCTCAACATCACTGCCCACCTCCTATAACTTGAATGCGGTCAACCATGCTGAATTACGATGGTCCTATGTTGAACAGTCAATGCTTAAATGTTCCAGCCACTTAAACTTACAACTTACTTTGATAGCCAATTGGAAAAGGTATATACCTCTGCCCTATGTTGAGTCAGTTGATCTCAACTGGGATTGCAGTTGGAAAGCTGCAACTGTCCTTAGTGTCCTTAGAGAGGGAGTAAAACGTTATGGTTCCCACTCCAGATTTTTATCCAGAGAAGAATAAAAGTGCATATGTATTATATCTATATTATATTATATATATAAATAAATGTACACATTATAAAAAAAGGATGGGACAGAATTGGACTAATGTTTCTGGCATAGCCTGGCAACAGAATAAATGATAACTTGATCGGATACTTTAAGGCGACTTCTGCATGTGGAACTGTAGAAGGGAAAATAAAATTGACCAGCAGGAGAAAAGAGAAAATTGGAGGAGAAAAACTTAGGTGATTTTAATTCTGATACCTTTATCCTAAATGCGATAACTTGACCATGCTGTAGTACCTTTGCCATGAAAGCACGAGGCCCAAAATCATATTGTAAATGAAAAATTGTAAGATCAGAATCAATAGAGAGAGATGTTTGACCTAGGGAAAGGTTAACAATGGAAGAAAAACTGATCCATAAAAGTAATATCCCAAAAGTAATATTGGAACCACATAGTTTTAAATCGAATACTAATAAAGAACTGAAAAAGTTGACAAAGTAGAAACAGAATCAAAGAAGTTTATAGCACAGGAGGCTTTTTGGTCCATTTTGTTTGTGCTGGGTCCAGCTCTTGCATTAGGACTGTCTACTCTAATTCTATTCCCTGCTCTCTCCAGAATGCCCTTCAATAATATTTTTCAATTTCCTTTTAAATTATGTATAGCTTCAGCTTCAACAATTATTTGTTATTATTTGTTGTATAATATTTCACAGTTCAACATCAATGTGTGTGTGTAAAAAAAATTCTGTAACCTTTTTTCTCTTCTGCAAGCAAGCAGAAAAAATGCAATAACAAAAATTTAAAAAAACTATCATCTGCCTCCAAAAAGTATGCCAAGCACTGTGTTGTTATCTTGTCCATCTCCTTATTTGAAGGAACTTGCCTTTATGCCATATGATGAATTTCTGGATACCTTTTGTATGTGACAGATCATAAGGATTTCATGAATCAAAAGTACAACAGAAAATGAAATTTTTTTTACTTACTTTTTCCACAAGGTCATAGGTTTCTCCAGTTCTTTTTCAGTCCGCCCCCACTCAGCAAGGAAAGCAAAAGGCCATGCCAACAGCATCATGAAAGCAGCGAGGAAAAGACGAATCGGGAACAGCGTCACCGTCATGATAGCTATCTGCAGAATTTAAAATATGACAGTTTTAATGAAAGGTATTGCACAGACCAAAGTTTTATCACAGCAAAGTAGCTTCATTCTTACTTTATTTGCAGTAAATTCAGCACAATTTATCGGGGCTGCCAAAGTGATGCAACAAAATATGTGATGCATTAAAACTCCAGCAAAGCAATGTAATGGAGAAGAGCAGTTCCAATAAACATTAAAGAATCTCAAGCCCTGACACAACATAATGTTATTGGCTTCTACCACTGTCTTGTCTGGAAACAGCTCAACCAGTACTGTTAAGGGATCAAAACTTTACAAGTTTTTGTCTGAGTTTCATACTGAGTTGTGAACTTTCCAACTGAAGCTGGAGAGGGAACTCAGTGAAATACCTTTTATAATTGAAGGGAAGACCATTGAGGTCATAAATTTGAGTGACTTGAGTTGTCCTGCCTGTAAATTTATCATGGGATTTGGTTGACTTAAGTTCCCTGCTGAATGCTGTCAAATGCCAGCAGGAATTCAGGCAGATGAGAAGGCTGGGAGATAAAACCTGGGTCATACTTGAATTAAGAAAATACAAAAAAAACATCTATTTGACCTATATATGATTTGTTCAAGTTGGAGGTATTCAAGATACAATTTAACTACAATGCTGCAATTTTAAAGTAATAGCAGATAAACGTCAGTGAAAATTAAAGCCAACATTTTTGGTCACCACAGATACCTGTCACTGTGCTTAAGAGACTCTAAAGCAAAGCACTGAGAATTCCACGAGTTTGCTTTCAGTTTGTCTGGAATGGAATTCGCACTCTTCTCAAATGGATATACTCTTTTTACCTCATTCTGTAGAATTTAGACGCAGGTTAGAAAAAGCCAAGGCTTGGCACCCCATAGTGCATTGAGGTACTGCTGGAATTTAACAAGCTAAAATCATGCAACTTACCTTTAATAATCCTTGCATTTGATATAGCTCCATTCAGGGAGGACTCAAACCAAGCCACACGATATACTGCAAAGTGCAGTGACTGTATTTTATAGGTAAATGCGGCAGCCAATTTGCGCACTGCATTGTCCTACAAACAGTAATTAAGAAAATGACCAATTTTATCTGGGGGATTTTTGGCCAGGACACCAGGAGAAACTCTTGTTCTCTTCTCAAATAGTGCCATGGGATTGTCAACATCCACTTGAATAGGCAGACAGGACCTTGGTTTAACATCTCAATCTCAACTGAAGGATGGCACCCGCAACAATGAAGACACACCCCCAACCTTGCACTGAATAAATACAATTCAATAAAACTGAATCAAATATAAATTGGAAGTTCATATAACTAATTTTATTAGAAACAGGTTTGTGTTGGAAAATTATATTTACTCGGTGCAAAGTTGAGGCTGTCCAAACTCATTTCAGTTAAGATTATTACATCTCATCACTTGGGATTATACTCAAACCAAATGTCATCAGTAAACAGATAGTTCGCAATATTATTGATAATTCTACAATTAGACCAGATGTCAATAAGATAAAGAGTTTTTCCTATTGACCAGCAAACCCCCAGATAAAATTGGTCATTCATTTCATGGCCGTCAGTGAGATATTGCTGTGTGATGAGTTGTATGCCTAAAAATACACAGTCACTACACTTCACAGTAAATCCTGTAAAGTGTTTTGAGACGTTTTGATATCACAGTAAGGTGTTATATCAAATGCAAGGATTATTTTAAAACCAACCATTCAAAAATAGCCGAGTAATTTAATGTGGCAAGACACACCAGCAACACGATAAAAGTTCCGTCAAAGAGGACCAGTACCTGGAATATTTACAAATAGAAAATTAATCCAATAAGGCCAACCAACCGAAGCCTTAGGTTACAGTGATTTACATTTACAAAGCACCATTCATGTTGGGAGAATGTGTTAAAGCACTTCACACTGCTGCCTGCCACAGCTACCAATTAAACATATATCTGCCTATATAAGTAATGCATTCAGGGTAAAAATTGCTATAATTGTCTAATCATTGTATTATGCAGTTGATGGAGTTTCACAGGACATTGTAATTAGAGATCTAAGAATCCAGAATATTCAAGTTTTAATCATTAAAAAGAACCATTAATTTTGATTCAAATATATGACTTAAAATAGGATTGATATATCTAATGGGTATATAATCTTTCCATCATTTGCATCATAAATTGCTACAAAATATATCTCTTTGACTGGACTCTCTCAAGATCACTCTCCTTGACCACAGCTTTCGGTTATCTTTCCCCTCCCCACCCCCTTCGACCCCCGCTGCCAGCCAGCAGTGCTAAGTGCTTTGTCATGTCTTCCTAACATGAAAAGCGCTTTATAAATGTAAGCTGTATTGTAAATCTCATTCTTTACATTTATCCAACACACACAACTACAGCTAAACCTTTACCCAACAACTAAAATGTTTGGTGGCCATAAAATGAGTGTTAAAACAACTAATTAAAGTACAGTAACATAGCTATTGTGCTTCAAAGCACAATGGTGTGTACACACATTTTTGTACTGCCCAATTAAACCGTTAAAAATAGTATAATATAAGTTACATTTTCATAGCGCATTTCCCATTGGGTTAACATCTAAAAGTGCTCAAGACTGTTGGCTAGGTCCTCAAGCTGGGAGCAGCAGCCAAAGGGGAGGAGAAAGATCACTGAAATGCAGTCAAAATATAAATCTTGAAAGACAAGATTTGATTCACAAAACCAGAGAGAGTACACTGCCATTTGGAGCAAAAGGTTGAATTACCACACGTGGTGGTTTCAGCTCTGTCACTCTGTGCCTTGGGATGTTTTCTTGACATGAAAGGTGCTATTTAAATGTAAATTTGTTGTTGTTGATAGCAATAGAGCTGAGAGCAATCAGAGATGATTATTTGAGGAGCACACAAAAAGCAGGTTGCTACAACATTAATGCAAGAACAACTGTTTTCCTATACCATATTGATAACAATTCACCAAATAACACTCAAACCAACATTATTTGCCGTCGTCTATTGCCCAATATTGTCTTTTCCTCAGCTACCAATGTCTGATAGCAATATACTCTAGGGTATAACAAACATGTAAGTGCAATAAGGATTCTGGCATGCATCACTAAAGTGGATCAGAGTCCTGACCTCAATCTCACTGAGCACCTCTGAGATTAATTATTGTAGGCAGAAGAGGAGAATGCCAACAGTTGCACCATAAAACAAAGGTCCTTTTAACTCCAACAACTTGATCCCACAATTTTAAAACTAAACGGGAGTCTAAAGCACAGACTGGCTCTATACATGCAGAATTTGCACACACGCTAATTCTAATATAATTTTTGTATCAGGATGTAAACATGGTGCAAAAATACACAGAACACAGACATAAAAACAAAATCAGGATTACCAATACAATAGCTGCATTGTGAACAGTTGTCACAACTATTACGCTAACATGTCTCCACATGCTTGTAAATAGAATTTTTTATTTTCTTCTGGGCCCCAACTGAATCATGGGTGAAACTATCTGATATACAGAAATAATAATAATTTGTATTTTATTATTAATTATTAACAATCATGATTACTAAATATTGTTAATAATGCATATTATTGCAAGGATTAGTATGCTTTGATATAGCAATAAGAAGAATGGCCTTGGAATAGAAGGCAGTTTGGGTCTGAGAAAGAGAGGCAGTAGAAACGCAGATGCTTGAGCCACATTTGGCGGTGAACCATGAAGCTAGTATTGTGCCAACTTTACTAGAGCGTCCGGGTTTGGGATTTGAGGTAGTGGAGGTGGCTGTTATACCAGGGTGAGTGAGTGGGTATTGTGGGAAGTGAAGTGGGAGTAGGTAGGGAATTGAAGGTTGAGGAGAGGGGCTCATTTAGAAGCTTGATGTCTGCATCGAGATTGCTGCAGGTGGAAGGCCAGGGGGAGAGAAGGTCTGAGGATGAAAAATGTTTTTGAAGGATTCGGGCCCCGGGAAGTTCCATGGGCGGGACAAAATGGTAGGGACTTGGAGGAGGGGAGGAAAATGGGAGAGGAGAGGAAATTGAGGAAGTGGTAAGACATAAGAGATATTAGCCAGGACAAGGAAACAAATCCCCATACTCTTTTATGAAATGATGGTACAGGATCTTTAATGCTCACCAGAATCAAAAGGCAGACAAACCTTAGCTTAACAATTGTGTAAAAAAGGGTTAATGATCAGAACAAATAAAAACATGTATTTAATATAGGAACTAATTACACCAAAAGTTTTAAAGCATTTATGTAGACCATGTCACAATTTCATCTTTCTTGGATAGATTGAAAGTAACTTGCATGCTGACATAGCCTGCTACTCATGCATGATTACTCTAGCTCACACTGTGTCAAATCCACTTATGAATCGGACCATAGTCTGGATCACAAACTTATCTCTTTTGGAAGGCAATAACTTTTAAGATTTTGTAGCAACACAGAATTCCGCAGCCAAATGAGTTTTGTAGATGTAGGTATAAACCAAACAAAAACATTTTTACTTTTCTTCAATCAAAAATACTCTTTGCATTTGATACAGCATCTTTTACATCGGAAGGAAGTCTCCAAGCACTTCACAGGATTTATTCTAATGTGTAGTGACTGTATTTTGTAGGTGAACGTGGCAGCCAATATGCGCACAGCAATGTTCCACAAATAGTCATGAAGTGAATGGTCAGAGGGATTATTGGGCAGGACACTGGGACAAATTCCCTTTTCTTTTTCTAAGGTCCCATCTGCCTGAACATGCAGATGGGACCTCAGTTTAACATCTCAACCAAAGGACAGCACCTCCAACAATGCAGGGTTTCCTCAGCTTTGCATTGGAGCATCAGCCTATATTAGAAACTTTAAGTCGCAACGCAAGTTTTGAACCCCCAACCTCAGAAGTTCTGAGGCGAGAATGCTGCAATTTGAGCCAGGCTGACATTTGACAAAGATTCCTTGGTAAGATGAACTTTAATAAGAGAACAAACAGTT